GGCATAGAAGTATATACTGCCTGGAGGTACCAGGAGAGACAGTGGACAAGGTAGAAACATGGATTTGACTAATGAGCTCTGATAATAGAGGTTGTAAAGTATGGCAGTCTGTATCTGAGTTTTACCTTGAAATAGTGTGAAGAACTTTCTGCTATCTTCTAAGTTCTCAACCTAAGAACCAATTAATTCTAATTTATTAACCTTCTAGTATTACTAGCAGTCCCTTTTCTGACTAATTGCTAAAGACATCTGTTTTCTTGCAATTAGTGACCTTCACTGTAATCTACTCTAAAACATGTTTCATGATAGCTGTCTAGTTACCCATTGACGTTAGAACTCACTCCCCTCCTTAGGGTCTCGTTGATTGACCCATGGGTCAGGGTAAGATCGTAAAAATTCCTTTGTTCAGACCTAATGCTTGATGTTCTAACTATAAAAGATGAGTTCAGAAACTGGCCTTTGGCCACAGCCTAACAAACACCATCTCTGGCTGTGGTCTCAGCTAGCTTATAAGCTTCTGTACCCCGTGGTGTTTTTTTAATTTTTTTTATTTTTTAATTTATTTATTTATTAAGGATTTCTGTCTCTTCCCCGCCGCTGCCTCCCATTTCCCTCCCCCTCCCCCAGTCAAGTCCCCCTCCCTCGTCAACCCAAAGAGCAATCAGGGTTCCCTGCCCTGTGGGAAGTCCAAGGACCTCCCACCTCCACCCAGGTCTAGTAAGGTGAGCATCCAAACTGCCTAGGCTCCCACAAAGCCAGTACGTGCAATAGGATCAAAAACCCATTGCCATTGTTCTTGAGTTCTCAGTAGTCCTCATAGTCCGCTATGTTCAGCGAGTCCGGTTTTATCCCAGGCTTTTTCAGACTCAGGCCAGCTGGCCTTGGTGAGTTCCCGATAGAACATCCCCATTGTCTCAGTGTGTGGGTGTACCCCTCGCGGTCCTGAGTTCCTTGCTCGTGCTCTCTCTCCTTCTGCTCCTGATTTGGACCTTGAGTTTTTTTTAATTTTTATTTTTTATTTTTAAGTTTGCTTCTGGTTTTCCTAGGATCTGGTCTCTGGAATAAAGTTTGCTTCTGGTTTATTAGACTTGGTGGTGTTCTCATCTTTGCACGACCTCCCTGGACCCAACAATTTCCCAGGAAAATTTAAAAATCCAGTGCCTATTGTAACCACTGCCAGTCAGGTGGCTCTTCTGTTATGAGACAGAGACTCTGAATTTTTTTTAAAACATGCTTGGATTTAGAGAAGGAGAGAGTCACACTCCAAAGCCAGTACAAGCATTCCCCTGCCCTTACCATGTCCAGTTTTAGAAATTGCTATGTTGAACATCAAGTCATCTAAGGACTTGAATTTGGGGCAATACTCTCACTTCTGATGGGATACCAGAGGTTTGCTATCATGCTTGGTTGAATTTTGTCTTTTGATAATGTTTATTTTTATTTTATTTTATTTTTTTGTGGGTGTGACAGCAAAGAAACCTGTTTGGAACTGGTTTAAGGAAGAATTGGAAGGGAAGTTGAAAATATGGGGAATTCTTTACAGTAGTTTTAGTACAGAGGGGAACAGGGAAGTGGTACCACAGAGGGCCAGGGGATGGCTTGTTAAGTGAGGGAAGACCCTGCACATTTGGATGCTGAGGAGAAAGGACCAGTAGGGATTGAAAATTCATGATGCAGTATGTGCCCCAGACTCAGATTTCTCCTCGGTGTCCTGACACACACATTCCTGACCCTTCTGAGAGGCCATCTATTTGAACTGTAAACCTTCCTCTATTTTTAATTCATAAATTTATTATATTGGAGTATAATTTTTATGTATTGAGATTTTGATGCACAATTACAATGCATTTTGATCCTATCTGTTGGATCCACGTTGATGGAAGTGACTTGGAAATAAATGAACAGACATCTTCAGAAGTGGGTTTGTTCTCATCAGAACAACCAAAGGGCCACAGTTTCTCTGCCTAAGCTGAGACTGTGTGCATGTGGTCTTGGGGTTTTAGAGAATAGAATAGAAGATTCTGTTTACTGATGGGTTCCCCTGGAGTCTCACAGCGGTAAGATCAGTGGGTTTGGTATGTGGCTGTCATGACTGGAAGCTTCCATATTTGTCATCTTCAAGTCAACTTTCCTGTCCAGAGCTTCTCAGTCCATATGAGGCTTTTAGGTCGCTGTCAGATCCCACAGAAACCCAGGGTAAGTCTTCCTCAGTACCTGTAGCTTCTCCTGGCACTCCTCATCTGCTCACCACCCTACACCACTCCAGCCCAGGGGCTGGGCTTTGCTTCCCTTCCCCCAACCCCAGCCATTTTGACCATGCACTCTCTTGACCATGCATACTCTGAGAGGTTGCTTGTTCGTTGGCCCCTCTCAAGGTCAGCTTGGTCCATTTACCCTCCCTCCTCGCTTTCTCTTCCTCTTCCTCCCCTCCCTTCGTGGTTTGGTTCAGCCTGGACCCTTCCAGAGATGCCTCTGGCTGTCCTCTCCCTCATAACTACAATAAAAACCTTCTCACCCATATCCATAGCAAGAGTTCCTGCAAAACTCTGCAGCTGGTTTGATTCCAGAGTTGGCTTTGATCTGCTTCCTGTGACTGCTACCTTTTGTGACCCATACCTTCTGTTTCAAGTATGTAAATCTTATCCTGAGTTTCCTACAGTTAGTTTCAAAGCCTATGCAAAACTTGGTTGCTGGCAACTCTGCAAACTGAGAAGTCCTGTGGCTAGAAACTGCTTTGGCCTTTGTGTCTTTGCAGGAGTTTCTGATCAGACGTTTTGGTATCTGGAAATAGACTTGCTAAAGGTGTGAATTGAATGCGCGACAAAAAAAAACACAAATAAACAAACAAACAAAAAAACCTTGCAAAGCTACAGTCAGTCAGCTCACCATAGGCTGACTCTCCCGTGGCTGCGAAGGCTAAAATTCATTCATCCTATGGACACTCATGAACCCAACACCCAACACAACATTTCCTTGCTCCTCTCACCCACTCCTTTCATGGCCTGGTTCATCAGGACCAGTCCAGATGCCTCTGGCTGTCCTCTCCCTCATAACCTTTGCTGGCCCATACCTAGGAAGCACTCATGTCCTCATTTTCATTCACGTGCGAGCTGCTCACTCTTTGCCCTCCATTGCTCCACTTCCAGCTCTCTATTCCTCTCCCTTGGAAATCTGCTACTTCAGGCAGGTGGTGGCCACACATCTAATCCCAGCACTTGGGAAGCAGAGACAGGCAGATCTCCGAATTGGAGGCCAGCCTGGTCTATAAAGGGAGTTCGAGGACAGCCAGACTTGTTATATAAAGAAATCCTGTGCCAACTTCTTCCCCAAAAGAAACAAAATAAAACAAAATACCTAAACCTGTTCCTTCTGTGGTTTCTGTATCTTCTGTAGAAATTCTGCCTACTTCATTATCCACATCAGAGAAACCAGCATACTGTAGTGGACAGCACAGTAATGTGTCATCATGTGCAAACAGGGACAGGGAGGCAGCTGGCAGAGGAAACGGCCAGGACCTGGTACTGGGAGTCAATTACTAGCATAGAGCAAAGCAATAGAGGTCAGCTCATTAGCAGTTTAGCAATTCAGCGTCTACACCACCTACTTTACAATGCCCTAGCTCAGGCCTTTGTTACCTCTGGCCTTGGCAGGACCCAACCAGCTCTGCAATTCTACAAATGCCTCCTCCTCCTCTTTCTCAATCTCTTTTTAGAGGAATGTATCTATTTTTATTTATTTACTTTTAATGATTTTTTTCAAAGATTTATTTATTTATTAAGTATACAGTGGTCTGACTGCCTGCTTGCCTGCAGGCCCGAAGAGGGCACCAGATCTCACTACAGGTGGTTGTGAACCACTATGTGGTTGCTGGAAATTGAACTCAGGACCTTTGGAAGAGCAGGTAGTGCTCTTAACCACTGAGCCATCTCTCCAGCCCTAATGATTTATTTTTATTTTATATGCATTGATGTTTGGCTTGCATGTGTGGTGTGTCTGTGTAAAGATTGTCAGGTTTTGGGTTCCCTGGAACTGGAGTTACAGACAGTCGTGAGCTGTCATGTGGGTGCTGCGAATTGAACCCAGGTCCTCTGGAAGAACAGCCAGTGCGCTTAACTGCTGAGTTATTTTTTCCAGTTTCAGTTTTTAAATGTCACCACCTAGACAGGACGTGTGTGTGTGCGTGTGTGTGTGTGTAGACAGAGTCATTTTATGTGCTATAGGCCCACAAGTATAAATTACAGCCCTGACTCACCACACCTTGTTTTCTACTTTCAACCCCAAACTCAACCTCAGCCACAGGGACCAAATCTTGCCTTCCTTCGTTCGTTAAATTAGCTAATGATCTGTTCAAGGGTACTGGGGTGGGGGTGGGGGCAGAGCAGATTACGAAGAAATTTAGTGCTTGTTTAAAATTCCAGAACATCCTCTCTTTTGTAGGAAGTGCTCCGTTCAGTCACAAAACACTGCGAAGGTTTTAGCCCTTAGGTTCAATGGGAAGGAGTTGCAAAAAGGACACTGTTTCACAGCTGGGAGCTAGGGTGTAGCCTCCATAAACAATTAAGAGGTCAAAGTATAGACGTCTAAATTAGAAGACAGCTTACAGTAAAGAAATACCCGCCAGAGACCTGCGCGTGCGCCTCAACACTCTGCAACTCAAACACTGAACTTCCCACTTCTAAGACTACAAATCGCAGCATGCCTCGCACTCCACGAGAGGCAGACCGCGGTGCAGGCTGGGAAATGTAGTTGCGTTCCTGCACAGGCACAGCACATAACGCCCCGTGACGTCAAAGGGCTCGGGAAAGAAGTCGGAATCCGCCCAGACTCAAGTTAAATCATCCTCCAGGGAGCCGACTCTGGAGTCTCTGACTGACCCGGTTTCTACTGTTAACAGGTCCCACCCCACAGTCCCAGCGGCCCTATGGTGTGCGTTGAGTACTCTTTCTGGTGAATTTGTCACAGTAATAGGGGAAATATGTAAAACAAGGACGGGCGCCCACTCGTCCGAGTAGCGGACGGAGGCTGAGGCGCGATAGCTTTCACGATGGCGGAGAGGACGTGGCAAACTGCCTTTGGGCAGCTTCTTTGCTGTCGTCTGCCCGTCATTTTATAGGTGCTTGCGGCGCGGGGCCCGCTGGGAGCACGCATGAGCAGACTCTGGCTGGGCGTACACCTCCAACGTCCTTCGGCGCGGGGGCTGTCGGGTATCAGCGGCGGTGCTTTGCGGCTGGTCGTGCAGGCTGGGCGCGGGCGGGCGGGCGCGGCGGCTGTGGCGCGCGCGCAGGTGATTGACTGATCCTCCGGCTGAGGGGAGCACTCGGTTCTTTCGGCTGGCAGGTGCCGGAGCCCGTTAGGGCGGAGGCGGAGGAGGCGCCGGCGGCCGCCTGCTTCGGCAAGCGCTCTTTCGATCAAGGCCATGGCTCCCCGGCTGCAGCTGGAGAAGGCGGCCTGGCGTTGGGCGGAGACGGTGAGGCCCGAGGAGGTGTCGCAGGAGCACATCGAGACCGCCTACCGCATCTGGCTGGAGCCCTGTATCCGAGGCGTGTGCAGGTGAGGCTCCCACGCGGCCGAGGCGGAGTGGGTGACTTGCCACGGAGGTGCACGGTGCAGGTGCCTCGCCTCTCGGTTTGCACTCCCCGAGCTTCGCAGCCTCCGGAGTGATGCGGCTGCTGGGCTCTCATCTAGAAGATGGCGGTGGAGATGGTTGGAGATAGGGCGTAGTAAACACCGGAGGGTTGGCCGGTGTTGGCCCCAACTGTGCCTTTTTCCGTGTGTAAAAGAGGAACTTGCCGGCAGCGAACTTTGTCACGTTTATGTCTCCTGTCACTGCACACCGAGAAGGCCTGATACCCTAAGTATCAGTTTGCAGAGAGCCGCTTTAGAAAAAAACACTTGGTCAACCTACGTCATTGGCTCCCCAGTCTCATTGGCCGGCTCTCTCTTTGATCTGGTACCTATTTCTTTTGGGCACCCGAACTCCACACCACTTTGCAGAGTCAGAATTTGAGCGGTGCAACTCAAATTTGCTTGGTTTTCTTTTTCTCGACCCTCTTCGTTTACGTTGAGTCCATCGGCTTGGAGTGATTTTTCTCTTTCCCACCTTGCAATCTGGTCTGGTGTGTTGAATCGAAATGATTGTGCTAGTCTTGAGCTGGGCATGCTCAGTAGCTCCGTTGCTTAGGGAGGTCCGGAAGATGCGAAAGCCTTAGTTTATGGCCTCGGAGCTGCCTCATTTGAGATATACGTAAAGTAGGGGCATCGTTCTGATCTCCAGGTAGCTATCTGTTCATAAGTACAGCTTGGACTCCTCTCAAAGTTCTGGAATGACATCAGTCTGTGCAGTATGGAATTCAAACAGCTTTTCTGGAGTACTCATTTGAAGTGTACAGTTACAGTGCTTGGAGGTTTAGCTTGGGGGTAGGGTGGCTGTTTTGTATGCTTGAGGTACTTGGTTCAATTTCTCGGTATTGGGGATAAAATAAAGAGTCCATTCTGGACCTGGAGGGGTAACTAATTTTTCCCAACACCCACATCATCAAGTGGTTTACAACCACCTGTAACTCCAGCTCCAGGGTATGCAAAGCCAGCTTAATACTATGGATACCCGCGCATCAGCACACATACACTTAAACTTGGAAACAATCCTTTTTGAAAGTTGTAGGAAATCTTAGTAGAGTCCATTGTATCCAAGTTTTTTTTTTTTTCTTTCCTTTTTTTTTCTTTTTGAGACAGGGTTTCTCTGTAGCTGTGGAACCTGTCCTCAAAGTAGCTCTTGTAGACCAGGCTGGCCTCGAACTCACAGATCCGCCTGCCTCTGCCTCCCAAGTGCTGGGATTAAAGACGTGTGCCATCACAGTCTGGCTTCCTATTTCTTTTTGTAGGGCTGGAGACTTTGTATGTTTTAGGATTTTTGAGAAAATATTTTTGTTTCTTGCATATGAGTGTTTTGCTTGTGTGTGTGTGTACACATGTGTATACACCAACTCTGTGCACCACCAGTGTGTGTGTGTGTGTGTGTGTGTGTGTGTGTACCACCTGTGTGCAACATCAATGTGTCTGATAAGCATGGAGGTCAGAAGGGGACATCCGATCCCCTGGAACTGGAAATAAAAAGATTTTGGGTTTCTTTTTGTTTTCATTCTTTTGTTTTTTTTTTTGAAAAAGAATTTCTGTATAGTTCTGGCTGCCCTAAAACTGTAGCTCAGACAGATCTGTCCTGTCCCTTTAAGAGAACAAGCCCCGCCCACTCCCTCCCCATCTGCTGAGGCAGGCAGATCTTCCTGCTTGCAGCCTGCAGCCTTCCTTTTCCCTCTCCCTAAGAGGTAGCTTCTGCCTTTCCCCACTTCTCTCCTCTTACTCCCCCTTTATTCTTCTCCCCTTCTCTCTTTTCCCCTCCATAACCCACTAAATAAGTATCCAACCTCACTCTGCATGGCATGCCTATCCATGTCTCTGGCTCTCACCTGCCATGCCTGGGACCAGCTACCTTCGGAGACCTGTGTTGTGGTCTTGTTGTTGCTTGCCCATCTGTCTGTCTCTTCTCGTGGCCTGCTGCAGCCAGTCACTCAGGGAACTGAGTCCCTGCCTGGGACTGACTGCTCTCGGGACCCACTGCCACTGCTCAGGGACCTGCAGTGTTTCTGTCACTGCAGCCACTCGGGGATCCGCAGCATCTTACTTAATCCATTATACCAAGTGCTGGGATTAAAAGTGCATGGCATCAGGCCTGGTTTTAAAAAGGGTTTTCAATTACTGTATGGGTGCTGAGAACCAAACCCTTAACTCCCAAGCCATTCCTTTTGTAGTTCCTCTTTATCCTTAAGAAAAAGTCTCAGCCGGGCTGTGGTGGCGCACGCCTTTAATCCCAGCACTTGGGAGGCAGAGGCAGGCGGATCTCTGTGAGTTCGAGACCAGCCTGGTCTACAAGAGCTAGTTCCAGGACAGGCTCCAAAACCACAGAGAAACCCTGTCTCGAAAAACCAAAAAAAAAAAAAAAAAACCAAAAAAAAAGAAAAAGTCTCACTAGGCTGTCCAGGCTGGGGGGGGGGGAGGTGTGCGTGCACACCCTGTACATGCTTACCTGAGATTTACAGTCCTGCTAGTAAGTAGTGTAACTTTATGAAATTATGAGTGTGATGGACTATAGGCATGTGCCATTCTGTTGGTGCTGCAGCTCTAACCCAGAGCCTTGTTCAAGCACCTGAGTTACATGAATGACACTCCCAGATTTCACAGTGGGTGTGAAGTGATGTAGTGTCTAGTGTCTGTTGATTGCCTCCTGCCTGAACCCTGCAAATGATTAGCAAACTCTGCTGCAGAGGAATCCCCTTTCAGGTCGCATTGGCCATTTTATTTCCTTCCTTTTATTGCTGTTTTTTCCTTTTGGGGGTGGGTGGGTTTCTCTGTGGTGTAACAGTTCTGGCTGTACTGGAACTTTGTCAACCAGACTGACCTTCAGCTCACAGAAACCCTCCTGCCTCTACCCCCCCCCCCCCCCAGTGCTGGGAATAAAGGTTCATGCAACCACACCCAGCTTTTTTCTATTTTTTGTTTTTAAGATAAGGTCTGACTGTGTAGTCCCTGCCTCTGCCTTTTAGGCCCTGGGATCAAAGGCATTTGCCACCATGTCCAGCAACATTTTTTAGTTGATGGACCTGTAGATCATTTCTTTTTGCCAGTCGTAAACTGCTCTCCTGGAGACAGGAGTGCACTTGTTTACTCTGAATAGGGAGGGGAATTGTTGGGTCAAGTGGCAATTGTCTTTAACATTTTGAGAAAATACTTTTTTCTCAGTGTTTCACAAGCAGTGTATGAAGATTCCAGTTTCTTCACAGTTTTTACATTTGTCCTTTTTTATGGTTTTATTATGTTTTTTATTTTATATATATAATTTATATATATATATATATATATATATATATATTTGGTTTTTCGAGACAGGGTTTCTCTGTAGCTTTGGTGCCCATCCCGGAACTAGCTCTTGTAGACCAGGCTGGCCTCGAACTCCCAGAGATCCGCCTGCCTCTGCCTCCCCAGTGCTGGGATTAAAGGCGTGCGCCACCACCGCCCGGCTATATTTTGGTTTTTTGAGACAGGGTTTCTTTGTAGCTTTGGAGCTTGTCCTGGAACTCACTCTATAGACTCAACTCCAAAGATCCATCTGCTTCTGCCTCCCAAGTGTTAGCATTAAAGGCATGCACCACCACTGCCTAGCTTGGTTTTGTTTTTTTGAGATACGATTTCCATGTGTAGCCCTGGCTGTCCAGGAACTATCTCTGTAGATCAGACTGGCCTTGAGTGCTGAGATTACAGGCATGCCACACCACTGCCCAACTTATATATTTTCTTTGCAGAAATTATTTTAGGGTTTTGTTTTGGAGACCGAGTCTCATAGCTAATGTTGGTCTCTGATTCTGTGTGGGCAAGGATGGCCTTCAATTTCTCCTCCGTCTACCGCCCAAGTTTGCATCCTATCTGTGAGGTGCTGGGGCTCATACCCAGGGGTTGTATATAAGGCACCTTTACATTCCTCCACCTCCCAACCCCCTGTTTTGTTTTTTTTTTTTTTTTTTTTTTTTTTTTTTTTTTTTTTGGTTTTTCGAGACAGGGTTTCTCTGTGGTTTTGGAGCCTGTCCTGGAACTAGCTCTTGTAGACCAGGCTGGTCTCGAACTCACAGAGATCCGCCTGCCTCTGCCTCCCGAGTGCTGGGATTAAAGGCGTGCGCCACCACCGCCCGGCCTGTTTTGTTTTTTGTTTGTTTGTTTTTTGCTTGTTTTGAGACAGGGTCTCACTACCTAGACCAAGCAATCCTAGAATTCAGAGATCCATCTTTCCATCTTCCTGCCTCTGCCTCTGCCTCCCAGGATTAAAGGCGTGTGTTAGCATGCCCTGCCTCTAGGACTGTTTGTATTTCTGAAACTGCTTTGAAAAAAAAGTCACAGGGTAAGAACAATGGTACTAAGTCCTCAAGACTCCTCTTGGGGTGGGTGAGTGGAGCGAAGGTCCGAGAACAGCTGAGTTTGTTCTCCTGCCATTGTGTGGGCTCTGGGATCTTCCACTGAGCGAAGACAGGGTTTCTCTCATAGTCTTAGCTGTCCTGGAACTCTGTAGATGAGCCTGGCCTCGAACTCACTGAGATCTGCCTGCCTCTGCCTCCTGAATACTGGGATTAAAGGCAAGCACCTCTTTTGTTTGGGTTTCAGGCCATTGCTCAAACTGTCCTTGAACTTAGTGATTCTCCCTTTCTGCCTCCAGCAGGCATCCTCACAGCCTGCTTAGGTATAAACTTCTCACAGTATATCCCTGTCCATCTTGGACCTTGATGTGTAGACCAGCCTGGCCCTTGAGTTCACAGCCATCACTGTGCCACACTATTACTGGTTTAGAAGGCTTTGTGCTGCAAAGCCAATGTCTTGTCCTGCTTGAATGTTGCCTAGCCTGTCTACTCTTAGAGACTTTAATCCCTCCAGGCTCTAAGGGACAAGACACACAGCTCCTCACAGGGAGTTTAGGTTTTCTTGTGATAATGACTCATTGTGTAGCCCAGCTT